ATCACAGGTTGAAATTGAACAAAAACTGAGAGAAAAATTAGAGAAACAATTGAAAATGGATGGAACTGTCAAAATGAGATGGAACCATATAAAATGAGATACAACTGTCTGAAATCTCACAAAACCATATGAAATTGAACAGAATATTCAGTGACATGAAACTGTAATAGATCAGATGGATATAAGAACCACCTTAAATAATAATAATAAAAAAAATTAAAACTGCTCAGAATTGTCCAAAATCTGAAATAAGACAAACCATCTGAACTCAGATAAGATGCTTTACTGTAACAGGAACCCTCTCTAGACTCCAATTAATCATGTCGCCATAATTATGGGCATGATGTTCAAAATTTAGAGCATGATATATCTATACCTATATCTTAAAGTGTTTAACAATTATTTTTAGGAAGCAAGTGAATATTTTTAATTTTAGTATTGTTGCTAACTAAAGGTACTTTGAATTCTGTACCTGAAGAAAGCATTGCACATATTTTGTTACAATCACAGTGATTACTTGTATCAAGATGAGCAAGGAGTTTTAGCAGGTTTATATCGTAAATTCAATCAGCAAAAACTTTATATCTATCCCTTGAAAATGTTCTGCCAAACCCAGTAGCATCTTTTGCGCTCTTTCCAATTTAATTATGTTCTTTTGTGGTTATCACTTCCTTGGAAAAATTGACAAAATACGAGACAGCCATTTTGAAATTCAGCACCCCCACTATAATCACCTCTTACAGGGTGATTATGGTGAGATACGGCAAAATCTTAAACCAATCAGAGCCCACACATCTTTCAAATCACCTATTTAAGCAATTATAATAAAACTGGATACTCAATAGATGTAAAAAAAAATTGACAAATGTATCTACTCTAGTTAGAGACAAAAGGAAAGTTTCCTAACCTGAGCTGTGGCCACTCTTGCTACTAGAGAAGCTGTAGGGTGTTGAATTTGCTGTTACATAACAATGAAGAAAATATATATGGTGAATAGGCAAAAAATGAAAAATACATGCACATCTTGAAGTACAAGTGTTCTTTAATAATGTCACCCATTTTCATTTGTGCCATGTTCCTTGAATAAACTACATCACCCAGACTTTGACGTAAAAATGTTGTAAATACACAGATATTTTGATCTCTTTTTCCCAATTTTTCACAAATTCAAGGGCATGATGGTGTAAGTTAGAAGATTTATTTCTGCAGAGTTTTTTTTCCTTCAGAAAAAAATGGTTGCTTTTTGGCATAACTTCCTTGTAAAAAGATAAAAACTGGTCAGAATAAATCTACAGTTTACTGTGGTTGGGTGTATTGGTTCTAGACATCACAATATCCTAGAAATACTTCCAGCAAATAACCAATACATCTTAACAATTTCAATAAATACTGTCACAGTAAAGCTTTAATCCGCCAGATAATTTACCATTTCATGTAGTAGCACATTTCCATCTTTGGTCAACTTGATATCTCCAGCACCTGACACCAACCTATCACAATCACAAAGGAACACGTGCTTTACACCCTCTCACTTCCAAGATCTCATTACTATTTCTCCTTACTGTCTGCCATACAATTCTTATTATGTTAGTAGCGAGAATTTGGTACTAGATCAGCTAAAAATCCTGTAATGGAAATTTCTCTTCATTCTCATCTCTTGTCTGCTTGATATTGTATTGATATTGTTAGGAGAAAGTCTGTCTTTGTCATGTCTCTGTCCACCAAAGAATAGATAAGTGAGTACCAATGAACAACCATACAAAATTGAAATATTTATGTGGTTCACCTACAAGCCATGAATTTCTGGATTTTTTTTTCAGGGAAAAGCACCCCCCCCCTCCCTGATCACTATCTTACATGAAGAATCACTACAAGAATCACTATGTTACATGTTTCATGTAGCAATATGGTACATGTTCCTTGTAACATAATCTGCAATATGCTCTTGTAGTAGTAATTGATCACAAGGCTCATAAGTTTCCTTCTTTACCCCTCCTGAACTCAAATTGTACTCTACACTTCACTATACTTAGGATACTGCTATTGGTTGTTTTAATGGTGGAGAACACTTTCCATTACAAAAAAAAAGCTCTCTGTAATGGAGAGCAGAGTATTTGCATGCTTTACAAATATTTATTCATAGGAAGTAATTCATGTGATTGACAACCTTGTCTCTTAAGGCCCAGATTCTTATTTATCCCTGTATAGTAAGAGTAAGTACCATGTCGTCTATTTAAACAATGCATTCGGTACAAATGTACAAAGGTTATAAATCATTCCAAGATATACCATAATCGATATACTGAACTGGAAGATAAGATCTGGGGCTGAATTCGCCTATTTAGTCGAATGGACATACTTCGCACCGTTTTGAAGGCTGAAAAAATTCCGTAAAATGAATTACTTGCGAAAAACAGTCTCATTAACATCTTACCGGCCCAAGAATCTCATTGATCTCATTGAGTTTGCACCGTAAACTACCTCTACTTTGAGAAATACAACGAAGAACGTATAAATGGGATACATAGGAATTTCAATGGAAAAATATAACTCTTCTTTGCCAATCAAAAGGAAACTATGCTGGCTTTTCCGGCAGTCGAAAATTTTCGACAAGCACGTGTTCAAACTACTTTTATGTAACGAGTGCAAAAAATACGCTCACATTTTCATAGTCCCCTTTGGACCCAAATTTGTTTTAAGTACATCCTGAAGTCCTCTTGCTGCTGTTATGTTAAGGTGAAGAGCAGCAGCCGATCTTGCTACTTCAGCTTTTGGATTTAATGCCTTCACAGCCGCCATGATGAATATGTCAAACCAGTCCCTGCCTTACTACGCCCATTGGAACTCTGGGAGGATAAGGTAAGAATAGGTCCGCAATGCGTTCTTAGGGCGCAATCACATTATCCATGGTCTTGGCCTCATACATACATACATACATACATACATGCATGCATACATACATACATCCTTTATTTGGTACAGCAGGTTGAATAGATGACAGCTATTGCTGATGTGAACCTGTTATCTACTTTACACTATAATAAGTTTACATCTAAAAATATATCCTAATATTAATAATAATAAATACTAATAATACATAAATAAATAGATAAGCTTGAAATGACTGTATAAATAAATATATAAATTGCAATTAAATTATGTAATTTAGACAATGCAAATGAAAGGTAAAAGGAAGACTAATCAAAATGACAAATAATAAACTAAACGTTAATAACATATAAATTCATCACTATTATTATTGCTTGCAGTAGAAGTCGTGCCACTTTCATTTCACTTAAATGAAAATTTCTAAGCTTCTTCATACTGATCTGAAGTCAACTAGGATCAAACTTAATAGCCTAAATTGAGAGATTAGATCAGAGTTGAAAGTGCAAAGTGTACTGTAGATGAAATACTCTTAAACTGACGAGGGAATACATTAAGCAAGCAACAGACCGCACTTTCTATCGGTTTGCCGGCGTAACAATCTACGCGGGATGTTGGGATAACACGAGAAAAGTTTGTACATCACGGGCACATTTCAATTTCTATGGGTTTACAGGTGCAACAAACGATTGGTTTTTGACCAATCAGGGAAAAAGGTAATTTTGATGTACGAGAAATGGGAAAGATGGGTAGTGGGAAAAACAAGTGCGATTTACCTCTGGAAATGTTGATTCATTTCAGGTCTTAACGACTGAAACCACATAGATCAAACTGGGCGGTTTCCGTTTGAGCGACGGGAACGACTGTCTTTTAACTACTTAGCGTTGTAAGAAAATTAGTGATCGCATCGGTTTTGGAGAAAGTATAATGTGGGTTGCAATCATTATCCAAAAACTCGGATATTCATCTGACGTTTAATTAAACTTAACTTGTTTTGTCTAATAACAGTTAGGAGAAGCACTCCGAGAACCAGAAAGAAGTCTTCAAGGGGTCTAGCAAAGATAATTATTGGTGCCAAATCCATTACAGTTCTTCCGCTACCTCGCCTTCCTGAACCCTTTACACCCTAACATCAGTAAAGATATTCTCCATACTGTTCTCTATACATTCTCTAAGGTACTGAGAAGGAGAATTTTTGTAACAATCAACAACTTCTTTGGCTGCTGATAATTTTCTTTATTCTTATG